GATGAGAAGGCCACATGAGCAGCGAAGTAGGAGACGGGTAAGCCACAGGGGCCAGACATCGAACAGCGGTGCCTGATGCAGACAGGTAGTAGCTAGCCCCTCGCACAGCAGGCGATCCGATTGTTGTCTCGACTGGCCCAACACCGCTGCAATCTCCACACGCGAGAACCAGGCCAGCCAGCTGGAGAGCAGGGCTAGGCGGGCAACTGCGTGCAGCCAACGACTGCTCTGAGACCCAAACAGGGGCTCCAACCAGGTGAGCCTAAAGGAATCCACCGCAGTGAGCCAGAGCAAACTGATCCAGCGTTGCCTGCACATTGTCCTCGTGGCGGCATCGGAAGTAGGACGATGGGACGAAGAGGGATCGACTGTGAGAGGACATATCGTGTTGAGCCCCGGCGACCAGGGTGAGAGGGCCTCCAAAGGGGAAGAAAGTACGAAAGTGCATATGAGCCCTGTCATCAACAGAATCACGCGTATAATATATTGAGAAACCAGCTACTGGAAACCGTGAGGGTGCAAATAAACTGTGGCGTATTTATTAAAGAACATCTACATGTCACAACAAAATGCTCCCAAGTTGAAGCGACAGTAATGTTCACTACAAGCGCACTTTGAACAACATTAATGTTGAGTATGAGCAGCGCCTGACTTCCTTAAATCTTTATATTCTTCACTACAGACAACATATGGATTAACTGATACCGACACTTCAGTTGCTAAGGGCAACTGATCTGGGCGTTAACTGTAAAAACAGGCTTGGCGGCCGTGGCTTTGCAAAGACGGGATTCTTGAAACTGTCCAACGAAGTGCTATGCAGGTGGTCCCTAAAGTCCAACAGTTTACATACGAGCAACGTCTGATTGTCTGAAATATCTTTCCCCGTACTATAGACGAGACAGAGGTAAGCTTATAGCGACGTTTCAGTTGCTAAGAGCAGCTGATCTGGATATCCACGTGGAATCAAGAAGGAACCTCAGAGAACATTATTGCCGACTAAAGAAGGAACTGTACCGCACAACGGATTGTTCTTCCTAATTCTTAAAAAGGTCGTTCGGCATTGGAACTCTTCGACAACGTCTGTCCTGCGTTCCCCCACTGTGAGCCTGGATAATTAACTGTGTGGCGGACTGTCACATTGTCTATCTCCCTTCGCCATCCAATGCTTGCTGTCCCGAATTCGTGTCGACACGAAGAACTGTCATAGTGCGTTCCTTCACTGGCGCCCCCGCCCCACGACGCTTGACCTCGCAGCTGCTTCTGGCTAAACGATAACAGCTGCGTCAGCACCC